ATAATGGTAGTAGTAGTGGTGGTATTGGGAGTGAGCACCAACGGTGTGACCATGAAAGTAGATTGTCGTGGTTTCAGATTCACCCGCTTTCTGCGCAGTCCATGAGTGCCGATGGAGCCTTCATCATCGAGGACGGGGAGAACATCTTCCTATGGTACTAATGGTAGCAGTCGACCGTCCTTGCATGAGCCTCACCTTGTGTAGGTTGGGCCAAGGCATATCAGGCCAATTTTTGAATGGTGTTTTTGGTGTTGGGTCCCTTGTGGAGATTGCTACCGAGTTGGGCTCAGCAGCCATCGTCAGCACTGGAGATGACAACTGTGAGGGAACGGGTCACTCTCGGTCGTTACTGCATTTTCATTCAGCCCTACGACTAGTGAATATAATAGAACAGATCAGACGAGATCATCGTCACTATATGCCGCTGGTCATACTTCCTCAAGGCCATCCGCAGGAGAATAAGTAGCATCTTGCCGTGTTATGTTTGGTGAGCGATGTTTTTAGGTTTTTCGAGAGGCTTGTGGCGGATCGAACAGCAGGTACTCAGATTTCCTATGAGGAGTTTGTTCAGAGGCTGGGGGTGAGACTGGGACTAGGTTGATCATAGTAGTAGTTGTTGTTCGTGTTAGCTCCGTGGGCAGACGGTACCTGTGGGCACTGCAGCTGCTATGGGAGGCTTCCCACAGCAGCAGATGAACAGCCCCCCTGCGATGCCTGGTCAACATCAACAGCAGCATATGGCCCAGGGCGGCAGGGGTATGGGCGCTATGGGTAGGCTGTGGTGGTGTTCGAGGTCGTTGGTGATGTGTTGTGATGATCAGCACCCCCAAGTCTAGCTGGGCAGGCGGGTATGGCACAGGGAGGACCCCCTCCTCCTCCACCTCTGCCCTCGAGGATGGCTGCTGCCAGTCCGGGTGGTAACTATGGCTATCAGCAACAGGTAGATGGTCATGGGGGTGTGTATGTGTGGGGGGAAAGCATATGTCAGGCCCCTCCGCCTCCTCCTCCTAGTATGGGCAGCTACTCGTACCCTCCTGCGACCAAGCAGTCCTATCGACAATAGAGCGTTTGATGTGGTTGTTATATAGTGGTGGTGGATTCACCAATTACAGTGCGGCCCTCTAGGAATACTTGGCGTCTCATTCTCGGTCTTGGGTTCTGTCTTGTAGTAGCAATCATCTACCAGTGCATCATCGTTGAGGGGGTCCAACAACACTGTACCGGTTTCGGCAAGTCTTTACGTGCTGCGTTGAGTGCTGTGGGTGATGAATGTGATAGTAGATTTGGGTTGACGGTCAAATGCAACCCCAACAGGGTTACAGTAGGAGCCCGTTCGGGATGGCCCACCAAAGCGGCCCTCCCCAGACGAGTCCCTTTGGGCCAGGCGGTAGTAGTGGTGGTGGGGTGAAAGGATGTTCATGTGGGGTTAGCGAATTGGTAGGTCCGTCAATGGCCAATGGCCAGCCTCCGGGAGCAATGGGAGTGGCCCCACCTCCTGGGATTGCTGGAGGGCCCATGCACTATCAGAGCTCAGCTGGGCCCCCATCACCCCCAGCAGCGGGTCAGCAGTATGGGGTGCCTCCTCCGAGTGGACCAGGGGTAGGAGGGGGCATACGATGGTTTGTAATTGCCTACTTTAGATGCCTCCATCTGGCTTCAGCGGAGGATCTTTTCATAACCAGGGGGTGAGTATAATGGGATAGCCCATAACGAGGTGGTTGACTCCTGCTCTTAGTCCGGATCCTTTGCGAATCAAAGTGGCCCTCCGGTGCCTGCTGCCTTTGGGGGGCAGGCGGATTTTCCCAATCAACAGAGTTCAA